TTACTCCTTCATTGGGACAGAGAATTTAGTTACTAGTTAAAAGAGAAGTTGCTATTTAGAAACAAGTTTATAAGTTCATGAGAGATAAAATTTCAACTTCCTGAAGTATTACAGGGACTCCTACATGATCTCCAGAGGAAGGTAACACCCACAGGAGTCTTTTCCAGAACACAGACCCGCTAATTAGCATAATACAAGGCGAGTCTGGGGAGTCTACTCCCTGATGCCCTACACTATGTTTCTTCCTTTGCAACACTTTGAACTTACCTTGTTGAATATTATTTATTTAGTATATCATTTTTAAATCCCTTTTGGTACAAGGCAGGATCCATAGTAAGTAATTAAAAAATAAAGAGTAATCCATGTTTTCAGCATACACCTTTGAACTAATCTTATCTCTGCATGAGAGCGACTAACCAGTAATCACTTTCCACTTTACTTTTCAGTAATCACTTTCCACTTTACTTTTCAGTCCATCCAGTAATCACTTTCCACTTTACTTTTCAGTCCATCCATTCATATGTTAAGAATCAAACTGTATAATTTTGTTTTAAAGTTTCTGCCTTGAGAAAAATGGTCATTTCATAATTCTGCAAGTGGGAATGTAAAGTAATATAAACTTTCTGGAGGACAATTGAGAGATAAGGATCAAAGATTTTTTTTTAAAGAAATATAGAATGAGGAGATATATATATATGGCTGTGTTATTTCCAAGAGTCTCATATTCCACAATATTAATGAAATTTTCTCCTCTGTAAAATCCCAAAAGGTAAGTTAGCAATTATAAGACTTCTCCTACATACCTACAGTATTAAAGTAAATATAAAGTGTTCAAATACTTCTTTAAAACCAAGAAATTCAGTACCTCATGCGGCAGAGCTCTTGTTCCCACTCCACATTTTGAAGTTTTAACTGTGATTTTGCTTCTCTTGTTTTCAGCAGCTCTGTGTGTAGCCAGTTCACCTTATTTTCCATTTCTTTAAGTTTTCCTCTAAGTACTGCACAGTCAGATTCTTTAAGTTCTATTGATCTGACTGAATCAACTGGATCCTGAAGG